CAGTGGGAATGGGAATGGGAATGGGAATAGCAGTGGGAATGGGAATGGCAGTGGGAATGGCAGTGGGAATGGCAGTGGGAACGCCGGCTGGGAACGCCAGTCCCTGGAAGGACTCACATCCCGCCGATGGACACGGTGGCACACGTGCGCTCCGAGAAGGCCGGGACGGTTTCGGTGGCGCTGCTGGCGGGACGGATGTAATCCACGGAAACGTTCACCTGCAACAGGGACACGGCTCAGGGCCAAACCCCCGGGATCGGCCAGTTCTTCCTCATCTTCATCATCATCATCATCCCCATCCTCATCTTCTTCCTCACCATCATCCTCACCATCATCATCATCACCATCCTCATTATCATCATCCTCATCTTCATCCTCACCATCATCATCACCATCATCATCATCTTCATCCCCATCCTCTTCCTCATCCTCATCCCATCCCATCCCCTGGATCCCATCCCATGGATCCCATCCCCTGGATCCCATCCCATGGATCCCATCCCATGGATCCCATCCCCTGGATCCCATCCCATGGATCCCATCCATCCCATCATGGGATGGATCCATGGGATCCATGGGGTCCACGGGATGGGATCCAGGGGATGGGATCCATGGGATCCATGGGCTCCATGGGATGGGATCCATGGGATCCATGGGATCCAGGGGATGGGATCCATGGGCTCCATGGGATCCAGGGGATGGGATCCATGGGATCCATGGGATCCATGGGATCCATGGGATGGGGTGACCCCTCAGCAGGAAAGCCCTGAGCCGTGTCCTGCTGTGTCCCAGTGCGGGGATGTGCCCAGGGACAGGAGGGATCCAGAGGGATCCGTGGGATGAGGTTCCACAGGGATCCCTGGAAGGGCCGGACGGGGCTCGGAGCCACCTGGGACAGGGGACAGGGGACGTGTCCCTGCCGTGGCAGGGCTGGAACCGCTCCACAATTCCATGGAATTCCACGCCCAGCCCTGGATCACTCCGGACACGGAAAGCCGGGAAAGGCCCCGGAGCTGCAGGGACAGCGCCGGGATCATCCCAGGGCAGGGCGGGGTCCGTGTGACACCAGGTGTGACACCCTGTGACACCAGGTGTGACACCCCGTGTGACACCAGGTGTGACACCAGGTGTGACACCCCGTGTGACACCCTGTGACACCACGTGTGACACCCTGTGACACCATGTGTGACACCCCCTGTGACACCCTGTGACACCAGGTGTGACACCAGGTGTGACACCAGGTGTGACACCCCGTGTGACACCCCCTGTAACACCCCGTGACACCCCGTGTGACACCAGGTGTGACACCCCGTGACACCCCGTGTGACACCCCGTGTGACACCAGGTGTGTCACCCCGTGTGACAACCCCTGTGTCACCCCGTGACACCCCCTGTGACACCCCGTGTGACACCATGTGTGACACCCCCTGTGTCACCCTGTGTGACACCCCGTGTGACACCCCGTGACACCCCGTGTGACACCCCGTGTGACACCAGAGGTGGCACCGGCACCCCACGGCTCCGGGGACAGAGGTGAAGCATTCCCGGGATCCAGGGGAGGGCTGGGAAGGGCCGGCCGGGGTTCCAGGGCGGTTCCAAGGTCAGGGAGGATTAAATCACCCCGGCAGCTCCCGGGAGCGAACCCACGGGGACCCACGGGGACCTGGGGACCCATCCAGGGCTGGCACTGTCACCCACGGGGACCTTGGGACCCACGGGGACCCATCCAGGGCTGGCACCGTCACCCATGGGGACCTTGGGACCCACGGGGACCCATCCAGGGCTGGCACCGTCACCCATGGGGACCCACGGGGACCTGGCCAGGGCTGGCACTGTCACCCACGGGGTCTCACAGGGATCTGGCCAGGGCTGCCAATGTCACCCGTGGGGACCCAGCCACCCCTGACAGTGTCACCCGTGGGGACCCGGCCCTCACTGCCTGGGGTCACGGGCGCAGAGCTGGGATTGGGGGAATGGGGTCCCCAGGACACAGCCCCTGTCCCCTGTCCCCTGTCCCCTGTCCCCTGTCCCAGAGCGGCCGTTCCCAGCTCCTGTCCCCTGTCCCCTGTCCCCTGTCCCAGAGCGGCCGTTCCCAGCTCCTGTCCCCTGTCCCCTGTCCCCTGTCAGCTGTTCCCAGCCCCTGTCCCCACCCGGGGGCGTTCCCGGGGTGCCACCCTGTCCTGAGGTGGGGGACAGACACCCCCCCATGTCCCGCCCCAGTTCCAGCCCGGGGGGACACAGTGGGACATTGCAGGCCCATCCCCCGCTCCGCCCCCAGGGCCCCGCGGCACCGGGGACACGTCCCCACCCCGGGGGGACAGCGGGGACCCCCCCGGGCCCGCCTGGGGAGGGGCGAGGGGCTCACCCCCCC